GGATTCGTTCTAACTGCGGAGGCGATAAAGGCGAAGAAACAATCATTTTAAAGAATGTGGCATACATTTCCGGTCTGCATACCAACATTCTAAGCGTCAGGAAGGTCCAACAAGCAGAATATGAATGGGAATTCGGCCGTAATTGCATCACAAGGAATGGCAAGGTTATGTTTCGACTAGAGGATCATTCCACAGGATTATGGATTATCGAGAAATCGAAAGGATTGAGCGAGGATTTATACGTACACGCGATTTCTATACAGACGATCAAGAAGTCAGAAAAACTGTTTATTTTGAAGGAAAGAATAGAAGATTGGCATTGCTGAATGGGCCATGTTCATCGAGATGCAATCAGATGCTTATTTGAAGCCGCTATGGGCGTCGAAATTATCGATTGGAATGATTACAATAGAAATCAGCGAATATGCGAGCCATGCAAGATCTTATGGGCTCCTCAACAGATATTTAGGCGTTTTGGGATGAAGGCGACCTCGTTATTCGAGAGGGTGCATTTTGATCTCATATAGATGAGACCAGCACTCAATGGAGACCAGTGGATTTCGCATTTTTATGACGAATATTCACATTTTCACGCAGTGAATACGCATCCGCGAAAGAATGACTGCGTCAATGTTATTAAACCTTTCGTCAATCAGAGGGAAAATCTCTTCAAGATACAGATTAAATTTATAAAAAGCGATCAAGAACAAACGCTTGGGAATAAGATCAAGCACTTTGAGCATCTCAAAGGGATCGTACACGAGTATTCGATAGTCAGAGTCCCGAATCAGAATGGTTCAGCAGAGCGCGCAAGATCTATACTGATCTTGAAGACGAGAAAGATGATACTCGGAATGAGATTACTCTGGGACTTGTGGCCATGGGTCTTCGCATCCGCTGCGGAGATAGCCAATCGGACGCCTATTGTTAGTATTCAGTGGAAGACATTTTTCGAATTACTTCATGAGAAAAAACCAGATCTCGCGGCACACCGCATAGTTGGTTGCATTGTCTACACGAAGCAGGATCAAGATCGAAGCGATAAGATGGTTCCACGCGCGTATTGTGGAATATTGCTTGGGCCAGTTGCATCGAATATATGGTATATCTGGAATCCGAAAAAGCAGTTAGTAGAGATCGCGAGAGACGTGCAATTTGATGAAAACAGGTTTTATGATCTCAACGAGCCATTTTTTGAAGATCTACTTCGCGAGATCTCTTCCATACCGCCGCCAGAGATCGCAATTCTATCGCAGGGAGGAGAGGACCTTCACTAACTGAATGATGCGACTGATCTTGCGGAAGGAGATGGACATTCTAGAGACGATGTCTCTGACGGGTTGAATGAGGTCTTTACTGGTCAAAATAATGAAGATTTGACTGAGGAAGAAGGATCCGTTGAATCGAGCGAGTTGGATCGGCAACCCAGTAAGGAAGTTAGATATCAGGTGATTACTCCGGACCGCATGCGTATCGCAGGACTTCCAACATCTCGATCAACGCTTCAATATTGCAATCAGAATCATCGGTAAGAGGTAAAGAGATCATTTTCTTGTATGTCAGAAGGATTTGACGATGAATCACTGTCTCACACATTCGTACGCTCGCGAGAGGAAATCCCGGACGATTTCCTAATGAAATCATTGCAGGAAGTAGCAGAAAACAAAGATTCTACATCTATTACATTTTATGAGAATCCTAGCGAGGCAGATACAACAAAAAATCCCGATTCGTATATCTCATCGAGATCAGAGGGTGGAAGATCAGGGAATGAAAGATTAAGAAGACGAGGATCTTAGAATGATGGGATCTGTCTCGAAAACATTATTCAAGACAGGAGATCACGAAGAGTACGATTCGATCCGCAATATATTATTCATTCGATTATACAGGATCTCTCGATTATTGAAACGCCGAATTGAATAAAATACGTTTTCTCGATTGTTTTCGATTCAGCAGGGATTAATAAGAAACGATGGTATCGAAACGATCTTTTTTTGTTATCAAGAACATATGCAGAGATGCTGCAGCACCCGTTAAAAGACGAATTTATTTCTGTTATTCGTGTAGAAATAGGAAATCTTGAATCGATGGAAGCATACGATCTTATATATTACGAAGAAGCGAGAAATGCGCAGATTCTATCACTGAAATGGGTCTTCACATACAAATTTGATGAAAATGAACAATTTCTGAAAGTCAAGGCAAGAATCTGTGTACGCGGTGATTTGGAAAAAGATTTTATATTTATTAATTATGCAGCAACCGCGTCCGTAAAAGTATTCAGAGCAGTTATGGCACTTGTGGTAGTATTCGATTTCGATACGGATCAGCGTGACATTGTAAACGCATTTCTGAATGCATTGCTTGATGAGATTATATACACAAGATGTCTGGACGGATTCAAAGTCAAAGGAAGAGTTTGGAAGCTTAGAAAGGCATTATACGGATTGAGGAAATCGGGACGCCTTTGGCAGAAGGATTTGGCAATAACATTGCTTGAATTTGGCCTTGTTCCCGTTCCGGAGAAAGAATGCCTTTATTCCAATGTCTATATGATTGTTTTTGTATACGTTGACGATATTATCATTATCAATTTACTTACGAAGACCGCACGCGAGGCAACTGACCGATTCAAGCATGCTTTCGCGAAGAAATACGAATTACGCAATATAGGAGAAGTAAAGTGGTTTTTAGGAGTCAGAATTATTCGGGATAGATTTCAGCGGAAGGTCTGGTTCTGCCAGAATGCTTATCTCGAGAATTTCGTTACGAAATTCCATCTTAACGATCTAAAGATCTGGTTAGCGACCTCTCATTCAAGCGTCTATAATCTATTTCCATACACGGAGCAGGCGCCGCTTCAGAAGATCAAGAAATACGAGATGAAGATAGGATCGATCTAATATCCCATTGTGATCATCCGCGCTGACGTTGTCTATATGGTAAGCTGTCTATTTGAATCACTGAAAAACCCGTCTCCGGATTATATCCTCGCTGCGAATCGAGTCATTGCATACCTTTACGTCACGCGTTTTTTAGCAATCGAATACTCAGGCAATCAGAAGACTAAAGAGGTGGCTGTAATCGCTTTAGATGCAGCATTTGCGGATTGATACGATCGATCAAGTTCTGCAGGATTCATCTGGAAGCTATACGGAGGTCTTATTGAATGGAAATCAGGCAAGCAACGTGCAATTACTATCTCTATTATTGAAGCCGAATATCTTGTGTTTTCTGAAGCAGCGAAGGCAACATACTGGTGGAGAAGAGTTTTCAACACTATGGGATTCGATTCTGATCACAATTTGATCGTACACTGCGATAATCAATAGACTATTCGCTTAATCACTTCAGCAGATGTTGAGCAGAGATCTAAATTACGTCATGTTGATATTTATCGATCTTGGTTCCGTCAGGAGGTTCAGCAGGGACGCCTACGCGTTGCATGGGTCTTTATCAACGAGATGATTGCAGATGGCCTCACGAAGGCATTTCCTGTTTAGAGGTACCGTGAATTCGTCAGGATGCTTAATCTAGTCAATATCAAGGACCTCATCATCGATATAGAAGAAAATTGATCTCGCAATGCGATGAGGGGGTGTGTTGAAGTGCGGAGTTGACTAAGCAGTTGCGGTAAGACGATCATTGCCTTGCTCGGCTGCGAAATTGCGGTATTGCGCATTCTGCAATATTGCAATATGAAGCTATAGAATAGCGGTGAAAATGAGCGATTCTAGCATTATAAATAGACCTCTTAGATAGCCAGAAAGGAGGTCTTCAACACCTTCAATCTACTCGTTTGATATAGCCAATTCAATTGCTTCATTCAATCGTTTTTTAGTGGTCCAATCTATCCGGATCCTTAGTCATTCTGCTTGCCAAGCCTTCGCCCTTTTACATGTTCCTCGTCCTCACGTGATCAAGGAAAAGTTGCTGCCCGAGTAGCTAACCGCGCCCGACTCATTTTTGCCCGCCGAGACATATTAAGGCAACAGGTACACATCAGGATACGGGGAGTATCTGAGCAACGGAACTGTCGGATAATATGATGCTATACATGTGATGTTGGGCGTTTCAATCGAAGCCGCGCGCCCCCAGGCTTATCGATCACAGAACAACACACCGCTGTGAAGATGGCCTGAGTCCAGCCATATTTGGGATTTGTATGGACTTTGATGTTTTATGCGGTCGGTTCAGCTGTTGTATGTAGTGATGTAGGGTTCGGGAATCCGTTCGTTACCTCAAAGTATTCAATTTCGCTACAAATCACAGCATCATAGTCTACGTGAACTGAACTGAAACGTCACATTAGGAGCCTTCTAGCGACAACAAGACATTCGCTGCTATTACTCAGCGACTCAGGACTGAAAAATCCGCCTGAAAAGCGAGATAGGTCGCCTTCGGCATCACATAGACTTGATGTCTTGGGCCTGTAATAGTTGGAAAACGAAACACTAGAAGCTAGAACAGGAGCACGTACAACCAGAACGGTCAATAAATAATGATTAGTACACATCGTTTTCACAGAAGCTTGCAATGACTTACTTGCAATGCTGACTTTAAAGTATTGATGCTTCGCAGAACCCCCGAAATAGCGCCCAGTAAACTCATTACTTCCAACCGATGAAGAAAGTGGTCATTCAGAAACGTCAAGATCTTATCACTCCGGCCAATTATATCCCTACTTTGTACTGAATGGTGGGTCCAATACCGACATGAATAGTGCAGCTCTGGTGGCAAACGGTAATGGTGGAGAAGGAGCTGGGCTTCATCCTTCGAAAAGGAGAAGGATATTATCACATTGTCAAGAACAGAACGTACGAGTACCTGTTGGTCTCTATCAGAGAGTTTTTACATTATCATTGCGTGGGGTCATCAGAAATTTCATTTAACCATTCTTGAAATAGGAGCGATAATGATATATACCAGGCGATAGAAAGAGAAATAGACCTGGTGACAAGAAAGGGAACTCTAACTCATCAGCAGCTCCAGCTATCTTATTCCTTCAATGAATCGCTTCGCCCTTCCGCACCAGCGGTCACATTGATAGGCATGTTCTGAGAGGATTTAGGAGAGAGTCGGAAACCTCGTCCATATCGTTCCTTAAACTCGGAGGTGGTTTCGCTTGGTATCTCGTCATTAGGAGCATACGGCGGGCTGTCTTGTGAAGATGGGCGAAGAGTATTCCCTAGGTTGATACTTGTAAAGTCTCTCGATAGTTGTTGGAGAGAAACATCGCTAAGATGACCTCCAACCTGTCTCGACCTCCAACCGACCCCTCGATTTTTACCGTGGATAATTGTGCCGTTTGTCGAAACCATGAATTGTACGGCGTCCCCGGTGGCGTAGTTGTCAATATTGCTGATGTTCTCCTTTAGGTGATCGTCTGCCCTGGAGCAGATATCCATACACTGACGGGCTGTCTCCCACTCTTCTCGCAGCCTAGCAAGATCGGCAAGTTCCTCGTCAGAAGACATACTCGCTCGCGATTTTGTCAATAACTTGTCCATGAGGCCCTTCATGTGTCCCTCAAGCTTCGCAGCAGTGAGAGTTAATCTCTTCTTACAGTCCTGTAGGCTCTCGTTCGTGACTCTTTCGGGCAGGGTATTGAAATCGAACGGTCCGGGAGCACTGCTACCCGATTCGCCAGTGGCCTGGATTTGGCTAATATGGTTGGACAACTGGGTACAGATCTGCAGGCATTTTTCCGTGCTTAGTCGTTCCTCTTCGATCAGGCGTAGCTCAGATGCATCTGAATCGCGTCCTGCAACAGTCTTCCGAAATATATGCTCAAGCTTGCCATCGATGGTTTCAAGATGAGCCTCAAGATCTGCCTTGGCTGTTACAATAAGATCTTCGTAATCCTTAAGGCTCTCAGCTGTAACAGATGACTTGCGACTAACAAAAGTTATTCAGCTGGATATAAAGGGGTGCTATAGGATGCTGTACTGCATCCGGAATATGGACTCACAGGTTAACGTCAGTAAGGGCAATGTTAATAGTTAACTTGTATCCAGCTAACAAGCGCCTAAAGCCATCGATATCATCGCCCATGTATCTTAATTTAGCCCAGTCTCGAAAGCTTGTGCGACTGCCCTCAGATCGCATCGAACACTTCTGGATTTCTTGCTCAAACTCTCCACAGGCGTGGCCACACCGTAATAGGGGAAGGTCAAGCGCCGAAAGGTCGACATCAGTGATACTGCTGATCGTCTCGGTGAGTGGGCCAAGGACCCCGCTCAATGCCTCCAGTTCCTCTATGAGATCGCGCACGCGTTTCGGATGGGAATGGAAGCTTTTGACTGTTTCATATAGCTTAATGCTTGACTGAAATGCGAAAGTGGCCAATGCTAGTAAGCCTGAAGCCAGACTAATAGGTTCCGCCATAGTTTTCATATATCTCGCACAGAGTCAGGAAGCGGATAAGGGGATCGGCGAGTTGTTTTGACCTAGAAGTTATCGAAGCCGGGTAGTTTTGATTATAATATATAGCTGGTGAATTTTGAGTTGTGCGGATTGCAAGCGCATATACCGCCTTGATTTGATTGGCATGCAGGCAGGGGAATGTGTTATACGCGGTCTTACTCGGCGACTAACCGAACCCAATTGCCCCACATTCGCTCAGCCTTCGACTTGACCCCGCAGTCAGTGTTACGCGGGCTACCGTTTCCATGTACAGCAGGCGCCTAAGCCACACAATGGCGTAAATCCCTCTCGCAAATGCGCCTTCGATCCCATCAATTCCTAAGAACATGTCATTTAATTCCACCAGTAGCATGGAGATAGGTGGTGATGTAGTGTACTTATTTACTTGGGCAAAATTAAATATGATTTCTCTTGTTTATTTGTTGGCATTTTCCCTTTTAGCAGAGGCAGAATTTCATCGAGGTCTCCTAATGTACGCAACTTTGGGCGCTCAACTAACGGAGTTTTTGACACCGGGTTCCGCAGTTACATAAGCAGTCTCAAATCCAATCAAAGATAATCTGTAGCCGCCCGGAAGTCAGCTGCCAGCTCTTATCACACGAGGGGTAAGCCAGCCTAGACCTCGACACAACCCGCGGTTTACCCGTTTTGGGTTACCCAAAACCCGCCAAGAATGGGTTTTGGATCTCTCACAAAAACCCGCGGGTTAGATTTTGGATTTATATTTCGATCCGTGGATTTTTTTTAGATATTCATGAATTCATAAACAATGCAAACATACTAGGACACATGATAAGTATTATTTATGCAATTTAGAACTATATCTTTAAATAATTTGTTTACAGATATAATATATTTCATAATTTATTTCAAAAACTGTATTAAGAAAAAATTTATCGATTAATTGAATAACTTTTCAAATTCTATTTAATATTCAAAAAAATCATTTTACCATGAACACTTCCAACTCCTCCTGTCACGGTGCAGACCTTGATGCCTGAGGCACCTTCTAACTATGGCCCGGAAGGCCATATTATCCGTTCCGGGATCTGCATATCTTCCCGCTTGTTTGAAGATCCTGTTGTAGCTTTTCAAGCTACATCTTGTCTATCAATCTGTATATAGCTTGATCTTGTAACAATTCAGAAATATTGTGAATTATTAGTCTATCTGTTTGTCTGTTATTAGCTCTATCATTTCTGCCAGTTTGCATCTTGACACTATGTAGTTTCCATTTTTAGAGCTGATGTCCGTCCGAAAATGACAGTTATCCCAAATCTTCCGTCTTTTTTGAACAATTCAAAAGAATTAATCCAACATGTTGCTGAACATGTTTTAGAATGATATAATTATTGCGAAAAGATTCATTTTTATGCAATGGATATTAATCAGAATTTTAATAAAAAAGAATTACTGTTAGCTTTTCAAGCTGAACAATCTTAGCAAAAAGAAATGAAGATAATTTATCAATTAATTGAAATCATAAATGCCCGCAATATGGCCTTTAAAGAAAGAGATCAAGTTATAAAAAATAAAATCCAATTATTCAAATAATTACATCAATAATTAGCATTCTGATTTAGATTTCTAAATTATTTATTGAAAAATCTTTAATTATTTCAATAAAAACGTTTATATCAATCAATTTCGGATCTTTTGTTTTTATTTATTTTTTCAAATGTTTATTTGATTCTGATAAATTTAAAGATATTCAATCAGATTTTCATCGTTTTATCTTTTAGATTAAAAAAAATGATTGTTAATCGCGATCGTTTCTCGACATCTTAAATTTGTATAATTTATGTTTCTAATTGTCTAAAAAAGTTGTTTTATATTTAGATCTTATTATATATCAAAGATGAGATCTGTCAACTAAATGATCATATTGATATTTTGAAAATATTGGATTGAACCTATAATGATCTAAATCGTGTTTGTAATGCTTGAATTATTTTTTATAACTTGTAGCAAAAGAATCAGAAGTTTTTTGTTTTTTTTGTTGAATTTCAACATCTTATTATGAAGAAAAAAATCATTGAAGATAATCTTTTTATATTTTTTAAAAAAGCTGTAAATCAAGAATTAAAAAATATGATAATATATTAAAAACTTTTTATTGACAATTATATCGATCTTGTTATTTTTTTGTAAAAATTTGAAAATTGTTGCAAACAATATATTCAAAATCAGTTTTGAAGATCGATTTCTGGTATTCAAAGTTTTTCGCATTGTTTTATTATCGAAAATTTCAAAAATTTATTTTGAAATGTTATTGTTGAAACATTTAAACTTGTCTTAGCTATTTTTGATTTCGATATTATGGATCTTTTTTTTATACGTTGTTTGTTCTTTAGATCCTGTGGTTCAATTCACAAAGAATGAGATGAATGTTTTTATTGTGGCTCTAGCTAACATTTTATTAAGGATTGTTTCAAGTCCGATAATTATACTTATCAGATCAATTATATTGTCCGTTTTGTTTCGTTTTTTAAAACTGTTTTGTTCTTTAAAAAATGGTTATTTGTCTTTATATTGCATTTTATGTCTTAGAATCCGCCTGTATCTTCTTCAATTTAGGCCTTCCAATCCTGTGCTATGCTTCAGTCCGAATGATTATATTTTCCAGATCCGAGCGAATAGTTAAAAGAAATTAATCTGATTCAAGTTGCAGTTAGGCGGATCTTTTCGCGTGAATATATCGAATATTTAAAATTATTATTAGAAGATTTTCAATCAAGAAAAAATTCCGAAGGATTGATTTATTGATTATTTTTATTATTTTGAATTTTGAACAAAATAAGATTGTTATTTACATTATGTTTGACATTGATTATTTTATATTCTGTGTTATGAATAAGAGCTAGATCAAAATTCATTATCTGACTTTATATCTCTTGAACAAGTCTAAATCTATAATGGGTTTTGATGATTGTAAGAACGAAATTGGCATTATTATTCATTATATTCGCATAATTTTAAAGATCTATGATCACGTTGAAAAGAATGTTCCATTCTTAATTATTTAATTAGCACATTTCTCTATTATTATTGATTTATTATGACTAAAGATTCATGATTTTCACATAAATTTTGTAGAACATATTTTTCAATTTTTTAGTTTATATTGTCAGAAACATTGCAATATTTCAATTCAATCTGTTAAGATCTGAATTCTGCATGATATTTTTGTTCAAGCCAGATCTATGAATTTGAAGGTTTTTAAATCCTTGAAAGATCAAGACTTTCAAATGATTTCATTAATTGTTTGCGCTGTGTACATCTGTAGAAAAGATAAAGTCTATGTTTTAACAATTAAACAAATTGATAAAATAGTTCAGATTATTTTTGAATTATTTGAATCTGAATTTTTAAATGAATTTAAAGACTTTGCAGATATCTTTTTTTTAAAAGAAACGAAAAATTTTTTTTTCACATTGAGATTACAATTATACAATTATTTTTGAATCAAAAAAAAAATTCCCGTTTGAGTCATTTTACAATATGTTTCAAAAAAAAACTCTCAGCGCTTTAAGAATAGCTGTTAGAGAATCTAAAAAAAAAATTTATTTGTTCAAGTTTTTTATTTGTTGCATTTCCAGTCTTGTTCATGAAAAAATTAAACGAAGATTTACGTTTTTATATTGATTATTAAACTCTAAATGTAATTATTATCAAAAATTGATATTCGTTATTTTTTGTAAAAAAGACTTTAAACAATCTTAAAGACATACATTATTTTATCAAGATCGATATTATTAACGCGTTTAACAATCTCTATGTTAAAAATGGATAAAAATGATTGATTATTTTTTAAATTTGTTTAAATTTATATAAGTCTTTAATGATGTTTTTTGGATTGATAGAGATTTTCGGAACATTTTAATGATAGATAAACAATATTTTGTGAAATTATTTTGATATTTTTTGTATTATTTATTTAAATGATATTCTGATCTATAATCGCATTCATTTTGAACATATGAAGTATGTCTGTTTAGTCTTTTAAAAATTATAAAACGTTAACTTGTATGCAAAGCTCTTTAAATGCAAATTTATAATTTTTGAAATTAAATTTTTGGATCTAATTATTGATCGAAAAGACATCCAAATGAATCTCGCAAAAGTTGACACAGTTATTAATTGGTTTTTTTTTATTTGTGTAACAAATGTACAAATGTTTTTAAGATTTAATAATTTTTATTGTCAATTTATCAAAGATTTTTCAAAACTTATTATTCTGCTTGTTGTTTTGATTCGAAAAAATGTTTTGTAAAAATGAACATTTATTTGTTAAAAAATTTTAAATGATTTAAAAAGAGCTTTCACTGATGCTTCAATCTTACAATTATTTGATTAAACCCATGACATTGTTTTGGAAATTAATATTTTTAATTATATATTTATTGGAGTTTTATCTCAATACAAAAATGATAAAATATTACATTTTATTGTGTTTTTTTCAAAAAAACATTTTTCGACTAAATGTAATTATAAGATTTATAACAAAAAATTACTCGTTATTGTTTGATGTTTCGAAAAATGACATTTTAAATTCAAAAAAACTTCTTTATTTATTTATATTATTTTTAATTATCGCAATTTGGAATATTTTATGTTGACAAAGTTTTTGAATCATTATTAAATTCGTTGGTTCGAATTTTTGTTTCATTTTAACTTTAAAATTATTTATCGATCTGAGAAATACAAAATAAAATTTGATAGCTTGATCAAAAGATCAGAAGATTTTTTCAAAAAAAGAAATGAATATTTGCTATATTAAAGCCAAACTGTCTTGAAATGTGAAAATCTTGATCTGTTTAATCTAATTGAATCAATCAGCCCATCTAAACCAATCAGCCCGTTCGAATCAATCAATTTGTTTGAATTAATTAATCAGCCTGAATCAACTAATCCATTTGAATCAACAAGCCCATTTGAACCAATTGATTCATTTGAGAATC